AAGCAGAATATAAAACTTTTGTCCTCTGATGCATGGCCCTTGGGATTCATGAAACCTATTGTATAAGCTAAGCTATTCTTTTCAAATGCAATGTTTGTATTGTGTCTCAAGACAGAATGAGACCTAACCTGCAGGAAGACACGATAGGCTGCATAAATGCCACATGCTTTGAAGAAAGTTGAATTAAAATTAAAGACATTATTTTTCTCCTGGGAAAACAGTAACTTCATACAGGTGAAACAGCAAAAGGGACAACTAAGGGACAGTAGAAGTTTCCTGAGTTTGGATGTTCAATCATGGTTCTGTATACTCATACATGACTAATGTCTTCTTAAAAAGTATGGGATAAATTATTTCTAGTCCATGTTCTCCAAGAGTCCAAATTTCTTTCCTACTACAGCTCATTCACCATGTAGCCCCTGCTCTCTTTCCATGTGAGAAATGTTTCTTCTGTTTCCTTCTAAATCACTGATTCTGCACCCACTGAAAAGTGCCTTATTCCCCCATAGTTCACTGCTAGCATTAGTGGATCTGAGATGGACCTGCATCTTTGCAAGAGCAAGGTCATGCCTGTGGTAGTTTAACTTCATGATAGTATTCCCACCAATCCTATGAGTAGATGTGGTAGAGAACTTCACTACAGATTCAAGCAAATGACCTGTTGCTAAGTGTTACTTAGTAGGAGTGTTTATAAGGCATATTAAATATACCCTGGAGCAAGCTGAGAGGGAAAAGACACAGGGGATATGAACAGAAAGTGCCAGAGACTATTTTGCTTGCTGTCTGGAAAGGAAATGACTCAGGATGCTTTGAAGAAAGTGAAGTGTGTAAATAAGAAAAGGTCTATGCACAGCCAAAGTGAAGTTCTTCAAGATTTAATCTGTGCTAAATGCTCGTCCTCTGTATCTTATTTTTCATGTATACTTCTCTAGACACATTCCATAGTCCAAAAACATCACAGAGAATGTGAAGTCTGCCACACAAGATGTTCTTGGACTTAAACTAATACTAGTTCTAGTAATTCAAATGAATACTTGGTATTGACTTCAAATGCTTTTATTCTCTTTCCAAACTGCTGGCGTGTTTTCCTTCATGGGGAACATCTTGAAGTGAGCAAAGGGATTTTCAGGGTATTGATACATGGCATTAGTTTTAGATGAGAGTAAAACATG